TACAAATTAATTATATATATTTTATGTTAAGGAAGTCAGTTTCTTCCTTGTGTGTGGCAAATTATTTTCCAGTTTGTCTTTTGATGGTTTTTTAATGGCTCGCACAGGCATATATGTTTTAAACTTAATGATTTCTGCTGATCTGTGGGCAGAAAATAAGGAAGAGTCAAGTAGCTTTAAGTCTTCAACAGTATTCAAAAGAGCACAGAAAAGGAAAAACACTATGGAAATGACTCTGAAATTCTTTCCTCCATTAAAAATTAATTTATTTAAAAATGTACATACAGTAAAATTTATTCTTTTTGGTGTACAATTCTAGGAGTTTTGGCAAATGCATACACTCATGAAACTACAATCAATACATCAAAATTTCCATTATTAAAAGATTCCATGTGCTACTTTGAAATCAGTCTCCCATTTTTAACTTTTGAGTCTCCCATTTTTAACTTTTGACATCCTGATTTATCCTGTCTCCAGTTTTGCCTTTTCCATAGTATGTAAGTGGAATCAAACAGTAAGTAGTCCTTTGAGTTTGACTTCTTCTACACAGCAAAATGCATTTGAGAGTTATCAAAGTCCTTATATGTATCATAGTTCATTATAGTTTTTATTGCTGAACAGGATTCCATTGTATGGATCAACCAGTTTGTCCAATGCACCAGTAGAGGACATTTTCCATTTTTATTTTTCTCTATTGTTAGTAATCCATAGGTCCAGTAAAGGGCAGAGGTGAGATTTTCCCACCCAATAGGAAGACATTTCTTCTGAAAACTCCAGCTTAAAATTATGTCCCTGGGTAACATGTGCAGGAGGTTATACCAGGACAACTGACTTCTTGTCCCTTAAACTATATTTAAAATTGTAAAGTTAATCCTAGATGAGCAGTATATCAAAGGAATAGGAGTTTGTCCTGAGTATAGTTAGATGATATCCTCAGAGCTGACCTGACAAATATCCTGGAAGTCAAGTGATTGGCAGAGTATTAAAAAACATCTTATTTTAACAATTCTGAAAAAAAGTAAAAACCACCCAAATCATACCATTTTAAATTTGTATAAAGCAAAGGTCCACTTTTAGTCTGTCCAATTCCACGTTCAAAAATGTGTAATTTGTTATGCATATTTCATGTTTTCCTAAATTTACCCAGAAATATATATATGTATATACATATATACATACATACACACATATACCATACACATACAAATATTTTCGTTTACAAAAATGAATTACACATATTTCTTAGTTTTTACTTAATACAAAAAACTGGATACCATACAGGTCAGAATGTACTCATTATTTTAATGGCTGCATAGTATTCCACCAAATGGAATACTATGTGTGGAATACTAAATGTGCCATAATTTACTTATTCATTCTACTGATGGGCATTTGGGTTGTAGCCAATTTTTGGTGACTTCATTTAGATATAATTCATATGCCATACAATTCACCCATTACAAGTGCACCTCCATGGTTTGTAGTATATTCAGAGTTATATACTGTACAATTTTGGAAATCTTCAACCTCTAAGGAAACCACCTCAGCTATCACCTGCAGCCCTAAGCAACCACTCATCTACCACTTTCTCTATGTCTGCCAATTTTGGACACTTCATATAAATGTAATAATAGTCTTTTGTGACAAATCTAGTATGTTTTCAAGATTCATTCATGTTGTAACATGTATTAGAATATAGCATGTTCCCTCTGCTTTTTGGAAGTTTGTGACGAATCTGTATGAATTATTTAATAGTTGCTAGAATTCACTTGAGAAAGCTATTTGAACCTGGGCTTTCCTTTATTGGTATTTTTTTTTTAATTACTATTTTAACCTCTTCACTTGTTATAATTTTCTTTTTCAGATTTTATTTTTTCTGTTGGATCAGAAGTTTGTGTTTCTAAGGATTTGTTCTTTCATCGAGGCTATCTTATTGGTATATAGTTGTTCATGCTGTTCATTCATGATAATTTTTATCTCTATAAAGTTGGTAGTAACTTTCCCTCCTTTACTTCTGATTCTAGTAATTTGAGTCTTTATTTATTTAAAGATTTATTTATTTATACATACAAGAACTGGGGTACAGACCAGAGGTGCGGGGATGAGAGGATTCACCAGAGACAGAGTGGGGAACAGAACAGGTAGACTGAAATACACTGCCGAGGGGAGCAGCGGGTGAGTCAGGAGAGGTTTGCTGGGCCATGCGGGGAGCTCCCTGGCGGGGACTGAATTCGTGCTGCAGTGGCTGCAGATAGCTTCATAGGTTGCATGTTAACCCCTTGCACCATCAGGGAGGCCCCCGAGTCTTTATTTTTAAAACCTGGCCAATCTAGTGAAAGCTGTCACTTTTGTTTAACTTTCTATGGAACCAACTTTTGGCTTCACAGATGTTCTGGTTTTCTAGTATTTGTTATTTATTTAGCTCATCTTTTTATTTCCTTCTTTTTGCTTGCTCTAGGTTTATTTTACACTTCTCCTTCCAGTGTCTTAATGTCTAAAGAGAACTATTAATGGTGTAATCTTTCTTTTCAAATATAGGTATTTATATAGATAAATATCTGAGCACTATTTTAGCTGCATTCCATAAATTGTTGTATCCTAATTTTCATTTATATCAAAAGATACCCTTATTTCTCTTATGATGTCTTCTTTGACTCACTGTTCATGCAACAGATGTGTCTAATTCGTATTTTTTAGTTCCCCAACATTCTCTTATTGATTTCTAACTTCATTTGTTTTGATCAGAGAACATACTCTGCATGACTTCAGTTCACTTAAAGATTTGTTTTATGGTCTATGATATGGTCTATCCCGGCGATATTTTATGTGTACTTGAGAGGAACATGTATTGTTTTTGCTGAATGAAGTGTTCTATAAATCTCTTTAAGGTCTAGTTGATTTATAGTGTTGTTCTTCTATTTTCTTGTTTCTCTTCTGTTTAGTCTATTATTAAAAATGGGGTACTGCGTTTACTAACTCTCTGTAAATTTCATTTAGTTCAGTTTTGGGTTCATGTACTTTGATGCTGTTTTTAGGTGCATATTTGATTATAATTGTTACAACTTGCAATGCATTTTCAGTCATTATAAGATGTCTATTTCTAATGACATTTCTTTCATTTTAACATCTATTTTATCTACTATTGGTATTTATAGTTGCCATTTGCATATTTCCTTCTATCCTCTTACCTTCAATCTATTTGTATCATTGAATTCAAAGTGTGACTCTGATAAATAGCAGAGATGAACCTTGGTTCAGCCCTCCCCTCCCTAGTCTGAAAAATCTCTAGCTTTTGATTTTTCCCCTTCATTCTTCCTCTTGCTTTTGTCTGCATTAAACATTTTCTAATGTAACATTTAAATTTCCTTAACATTTTTCACTATATATTTTCAGTTATTTCCTTAGTGGCCACTCTAGAACTCTTCATACATAACTGAATTGGCTTCAGATATATTAATTAATTCCAATGAGATATAAAAACTTTATTCCTATATAAACCCATGCCTTTCCCCATTTTTCTTTGTGGTATCACTGCTGCACATATTATTTCTACATATCTTATTAAACCCAACAATATCCTGTTACAATTTTTACTTAATATAACTTCATCTTTTAAAAAAGCAGAGGGAAGAAAGTTGAGCAAGCATATATTTATAGTTTAATATTAACCTAGTTATTTCCCATTTCTTGCTTACTTCATTTGTTCCTGTGGATGAGTTACCATCTGCAGTCACTATAGGTCAATACAATTTTGCTTCTATCTATCTCCTCTGTCTTATTAATGGCAAATATATTATAGTTTAGGCCCCACAATGCAACTATATACACATTGCTTTATAAAATTTTTAAATCATTTAAAACAAAAATACAATTAAGACTGTCTTTTATAATTACATGATTACCTTTACCCATCCTTTTTTTGGTATGTAGATTCAAACTGCTGTTTCAAGTCACTTGTTTTTCACCCGAAGAATTTTCTTTAATATTTCCTGTAAGTCAGGTATACCGGCAACAAATTCTCCGTTTTTCATTATGTGGGAATGTCTTTATTTCATCTTCATTTTGAAAATCAGCTTCACTGGATATGGGATTCTATTCTATTCTGAGCACTTTAAATATGAGTTGTTTTCAAAAGCTTCTCTTTGTCTTTGGGTTTTAGCCTTTTTATTATGATGTTTATCCTGCTTGGGGTTCATTGAGATTCTTCGATGTGTAGATTAATGTTTCTCATCAACTTTGGGATGTTTACAGCCATTATTTATTGCTGTTCTTTTTTCTTTTCCTGGTATACCATTATAAGTATGTTGTACAGTTTAAGTATCTTATTTCTGTTTAATTTTCTTCATTATTTTTCTGTCCTTCAGCCTAGATACTTTTTCATTTTATCCTTCAGACCTAATGAGTACAGAGTATTACTACCCTCATTTAATAGATGAGAAAACTGAGGTTCAGATGAAGTGACTTGCCAAGATCACAGAACGGTAAGTGTGACTGTTAAGTTCAAACACTGGTCTGACTTCAAAGGTTACGCTACGCCCTCTATACTATTTGAAAAGTGTCTTTTTAATCTCTAGGAACTACAAACTACAAATGGGGGATTTGGGGATGGCTACCTGTCTCTCAGAGAACTCTTTCTTCATATCCCTATTCAGCATTCTTTGCTAGTATTTCCTCTTCTAAAATTCATATGCCTAATACCTAACATTTATTAGACTTACTCATTGTTTATTGCTTTGAATTAATGGTTACTCAATGGTAGCTAGCTTCAAAGATCATGAGAAAATCAATATTTTGATTTAAAAGCTTTCATTAGAAAAATATATAGCTTTCTGAAGACATGTGTAGGGAAGCATTCATTAAATATGTGAACTGACTTTTGAAACTACCTACTATCTCTGTTGATAGTTTCCATTTAACTGCATCTGCTGATATTTAGGACTGGGATACTAGTCATTTATTTACAGGTGGATAACTAGGGACAAATGGATTCTAGTGAATAGTTCAACATTTGCTTTTTAGTTCTGTATACAGGAGGCAGTCTTGAAAGGAATTTCATCTCTAGGGATAAATACTTAAGATCCCAGATAAATTATAAACACTAACAAAAAATCTGTGAAAAAAATCCTTTGTAATTTGTCCTGAGAAAATTATATTCTTTGTGGCCTAGCCTTCATACTCAGCATATTGTCTGTCCTATATGGCCTTTGATTATAGAAAATATTTTTTACCAATTCTTTCCAAAAGCTGAAATGTATTGTCTTAATTAGATTTTTCTCTCTCCCACTTAGCTTTTCCTCCTTAATTCCAAACAAAATTACTATCTATATACAAATCCTAGACCCATAATTCTAGTGCAAGAAAGACCTCCCAGGATTTACACTCTATATATCTCCTAGCTGCCACTGATTTCTGGAGTGTTATTGGTAGCAGATGATATGAGGGAAGTATCCTGGAAATCTGATCTTTGCTTTTTGTTCTTTCCAAATTCGATCACCAATATTTTCCCATGCAGTTTATATCCATTTACTAGATGCAATGCTTGCAATGCTTTCTCCTTATCTAAAAGAGAAAGAAAAAAACATCAGTTTAAGTAGGGTATAAGAATTCAATTCCATTCCAAGCCTAGTCTAGGCTGTTTAGCCTTGGAGTTAAATGTAGGCTATCAAGTGATATAGTTACTTGATTTCATTATCAAACTTAGCAAAATTAAACTAATGGCCAAGAATAATGACAATAAAAACTTGAGGTGGATATTTGAGTGTTTCCTAATTCAATGATATAGATAAATAAACAAGGATATAGTGTTCTAAAGACGATCAAGCCCTAACTAAAAATACATGAGCTTCTAACTTAGATAACTGACTATAAGTATGGTAAGGATGACATAATTTTCAAAATGAATAACATAAATATAAGAAGTTAATCATGGTATCGAGAAAGCTTTGTTTTTTTTTAATGGTAAAGTGGTTGTGGAAGCTCTCATTGGAATTAATATTTAAAAACCTTTGTAGAAATATATAAGTTTAAAGTGTAAGAGTATACAGTGTATAGCAGAAGTATACAACATATGGGCCTCAAAGCCTAGATGTGAGATGTGGGAAATTAGACAGTAGTGGAATTATTGCCCAGAATCTGTGAAACCTTAAGTAGACAAGTTATGTCTTGAGACTGAATCAATTTATGTCTCATATATGTATGTACTACAAATTTTCAAATGTAGATAGCTGCTGCTATGATCAGTAAAATATCCATTAAAATACTTAGTTTATAAAGCATCTTTGTTATATATATTTCCAATTAATGGGTCATAATAGGTGGAAGTCCATGGAATATTTTTGAGTTTAAAAAGGATCTTCATACTTAAAATGACTGAAAATCACCGGGGCAGAGGATGCACAAACCTTCAGTAAAAAAGGAAAGATGGTAAAAGACAATATAAACAGTGGATAGGGTTTGACACTGTTCATGTATAAAAGCACATGCCTATATGTAGATCACTAGGTTTTTTATAAATGATGATCATCTGGGGATAATAAAGGTATAGTTGCTACTCAGCTTGCCCCAAAAGAAAGTAGTCTATCACAGAAACTGAAATCCCTATTACTCTTCTCTTTGAATTACGATACTTAAGTCATGTATTAAGATGCAAATAACAGTTAAAAGAAATGTAACATCATACACTAGTTTAGTAGGAATTATTAGTGAATTAGCATATTAGCATGCAATTTCTTAGTCCTAAAAGAAATAGGAAATAGGGCAGGCACAAATGTTCTGATTACTTATAAGTAATATAATTATAACTTGGTCTAAAAATACTATTGTCAGCAAAGGAAAAACAGTTCTGATACAGGGAGAAGGAAGTACCAACATTAGGGAAAATCTGAGAAATTGGGAAAGGTTGTAGTCAACTGTCAATGGAAGAGAGAAAGCATAGAAGGGAGGATAGGGGGCGCTGAAAATATATATTCCTTACTTACCTTCTTCCCATTTAATGGCTCAAATATATGATTCTCATATGCCATGGTGAAAGGAAAGGGCTATATCTAAACTAGAGAAGGTATAGGTAGTTTCTATTGCATGGATCCTGCAAATGAGTAATTATTCAGATGAAGCTACTTACTGGGGAAGGTTATAAAAGCCTGTCCCCTCATTCGTCCAGTCATCATTCGGAATTGAACTGGAGGTCCTTTTTTCTCCTGGAACCGAGCGAACAATGAGACAAGATCTCTTTCAGTCACCCGAGGGCTAAGGTTCTTCAGGTATAACACCTAATATAAACCAAGGATCAACAGAAATATTACATGAGGGAGGTAAGGCAATTACTTCCTTGTGGTTAGCATTAGTTTCAAAGACCATGGATTGAACACATGCATCTAAGTTCACTCCCTCCAGAGAACTCCCTAAAACTATAAGAACATTTTATTTAAAAAAACACAAATCCACAAAGCCTGGAAGAACAAGGAAAGCTGAAAATAATAACAATATTTAGAAGCTGGAAAATAACTGTTATCAGTGCCCTCAAAAAAGCTGAATCTTAAACCAGCAGTGGGGAAAACCAAGTACTAAATCTATGCCTAAGAATTGTCAAACGGTTCAGGAAATGATAGCTTCAACTACTTTTGGAAATAGATGTAAAGGGGTAGAGTTAAGATAAGGTAGGTAGCTGTTTAAAACCAACTAGATCTTTAAATATCCTCTCCTACAATATGCTGTCATTCTCAGTCCTAGTGAACACTGGAGGTTTATTTTTTGAACGTGGGGGCTACCAGACACAGTTGAGGGTGTGAATATTGTTTCTGAAAGCAAAGAGGCTAACGGCAATACTGTAATGTATACTGAAAGCTGAGTAGATCCCAGACATTCCCTGCCATTTGGTTACTAGAATGCTGATAGTACCCTCCCAAGCAAGAGTTTAGAAAAGCTCTCTTTAGAGAGTCTGATTAGACAGAAGAAGAAAATCTGAAAACACTGATTTGCAATGGAGAATTTCACCAACAAATGAACTACCCAGATGACTTTAAAATGAAATTCAAAGTCAATAAAGGCCTGTAATAAGCTCAGAGCTTGCAATTCATTTTATGGCCCCAATCATAAAAATCAACAAGGATTAGCAGGCATCTAAGGAAAACTGCTAAAATGAAAGAACAGAATAGAACAAATAAAAATGAAAATAACCAGGAGGACAAATCCACAAAAAAAAATCACAAATATTTTCAGGAAAATAACAGACACTATGTATTCTATTAGGAATGGTCTGCTGTTAAAAAAAATAAATATTCTAGAAAATAAAAAAGAACTCTTCAATACAACTGAACTTGTTACTGGCTTAAAGAAGATTGTTATGTTTTAAGTAACCCCACTGTAACTATAAAGAAAATACCTATAGAAGATACACAAAAGAAAATGAGAAAGGAGAAAAGCACATCACAACAGAAAAAAAAAATCAGTGAAATACTAGGAAAACATTAAGAGAGGAAAAGAGGGACAAAAGAGCTATAAGGACTGAAAATTAATAAACTGGCAATAATCAAATTCCCATGGATTAATCAAAGACATAAAGTAACTTAATATATTAAAAAAAACAAGATTCAATTATATGCTGTCTATAAGAAACTCACTTTAGATTTATGGCCACATATACACTGAAAGAAAAAGGACAGAAAAAGATATTTCATGTAAAGAGTGACAAAAAGAGCAGGGGTGGCTATGCTTATATAAGCCGAAATAGACTTTAAGTAAAACACTGTTAGAAGAGACAAAGAAGAACAACACTTAATGATAAAGAGTCAATTCACCAAGAAGATATGATGATTATGAATACATAGAATACCTAAGTATATAAAGCTTTGAGAGAACTGAAAGAAAAATAGACATCAACATCCTAATACTGGATTTCAATACTCACATCCAATAATGGATAGAAATTTGAGACAGAAGAATAAGGACCCAGTAGATTTGAACACGACAGACAAAATGAACCTAACATACACAGATCATTCCACCCATCGTTGACAGAATACATATTTTTATCAAGCACAAATTGAACATTCTCCAATATAGATCATGTTAAATCACAAAGCAAGTCTTAAATTTAAGAAGAATGAAAAGAGACCACAATGTAATAAAACCAGAAATCAACATCAGAAGGAAAATTTACAAATATGAAGAAATTAAAAAACATATTCTTGAATAATGAATGGGTAAAAAAATCAATAGGAAATTAGAAAATACCGTCAGAGAAACTAAAACAAAACCGTAACATATCAAATTTTAAAGATGTAGCAAGAGTAGTACTAAGAGGGAAGTTTTTAGCACTAAATGTTTACATTAAACAAGGATAAAGATCTCCAATAAACAACTTAATTCTATATCTCAAGGAACTAGAAAAAGAAACACTAAGACCAAAGTTACCATGAGGAAAAACCATAATAATAAAGGTTAGAGCAGAAATAAATGAAATAAAGATTAGCTAAACAATAGAAAAAATTAACATAACAGCTGGGTTTTTATTTTTAAAAGATTAATAAAATTAACTATCCTTAGCTAGACTAAGAAAATCTCCCTTAGACCCAAAATCAGAAATGAAACTGATGCCACAGAAATATAAAGGATGGGGCCTCCTCTGGTGGTGCAGTGGTTGAGTGCTGGGCTGCGAAGCTGCCCGCAGCCTCTGCAGTGCCGGTTTGATCCCCAGCCCCCGGTGAGGGTCCCACATGGTGCGATAGACCTCTCCTGCCGTGCCCGCTGCTCCCCTCAGCAGTGTATTTCGTTGGTCTGCCTGTTCTGTTCCCCGCTCTGGCTCTGGTGAATTCTCTCACCCTCCCGCGCTTCTGACTGTACCCAGTGCTTGTATAAATAAATAAATAAATAAATAAATAAATAATAAATAAACAAACAAATAAATAAATCTTAAAAAAAAAAGAAATATAAAGGATGGGGGCCTTCCTGGTGGCTCTGTGTTAAGCACCCCACTACGGGGAGGTCTGTGGCCTCTGCAGCACGAGTTCAATCCCAGGCCAGCTAGGGAGGGGCCCACATGGTGAGGCGGACCTCTCCTGTCTCGCCCGCTGCTCCCCTCAGCAGTGTATTTCAGTCGGTCTGCCTATTCTGTACCCCACTCTGTCTCTGGTGAATCCTCTTACCCCCTGCATCTCTGTCCTGTACCCCAGCTCTTGTATGCATAAATGAATAGATCTTAAAAAAAAATGATAATCAGAAAATAAAATATGACTTTTAAAAAAAGAAATATAAAGGATCACAAGAGCCTACAATGAATAATTATATGCCAAACAAATTGGATAACCTAGAACAAAAGGGTATATTCCTAGAAACATAGAATCTCCCAGACTAAACCATGAATAGAATAACTGAACAGATTAATAATTAGTAATGAGATTAAATCAGTAATTAAAAACCAACCAACAAAGAAAAGCTCATGGGTGAATTCTACCAAACATTTTAAGAAGAATTAATGTCAACTTTTCTCAGACTCTTCCAAAAAAACTGGAGAGGACAGAACACTCCCAAACTTATTTTATGAGGCCACCATTTTCATGATACTAGAAGCAGAAAAAGCGAGTACAAGTAAAGACAGCTACAGGCCAGTATCCCTGATGAACACAGATGTAAAAAAACTCAACAGGAAACTAGCAAAATGAATTCAAAAGCACATTAAAAGCTCATTCCAAGTGGGATTTATCTCTGGGATGCAAAAATGGTTCAACATAGGAAAAACCATCAACATGATATATCACATTAACCGGATGAAAGGTAAAAATTACGATAATCCTCAATAGGTGCATGAGAAATATTTGACAAAATCTAAAATCCTATCATAATAAAAATGTTCAACAAACTAGGAAAAGAAGGATTTTACCTCAGAATAATAAATGCTATAGATGAAAATACTATAGCTAATCTCATGCTCAACAGTGAAAAGCTGGAAGCTTTTCTCTAGGCAAGGATGCTCACTCTGTTTTTAATTCAACATGTAATACTGGAAGTCTAGCCAGAACAATTAGACGAAAAAGAAATATACAGAGAGCATCCAAATTGGAAAAGAATAAATATAATGATCTGTTTGTGTATGACATGATCCCACGTAACAGAAAAAAATCCTAAAGATTCCACAATAAAACTGCTAGAACTAGTAATCAAATCAAAATCAATATACATAAATTAGTAGCACTTATAGTGAACTATCGGAAAAGGAAATCAAGAAAATAATCCCATTTCCAATAGATCGAGAAGAGTAAGATATGAGTAAACTGAATCAAGGAGCTGAAAGACTTGCATACAAAAAACAATAAAATATTGATCAGAAAAACACACATAAATGGAAAGACATCCCACATCCATGAATTAAATGTATTAAGATTGCCAAAAATGTTGATACTGCCCAAAGTGATCTACAGATTCAATGCAATCCTTACCAAAACCACAATTTCCTAATTTTTATGAAAATTTAAAAAATCTAAAAATTCCTATGGTAACAAGAGACCCCAAGTGGAGAAAGTAATCTTGAGGAAAAAAGAACAAAGCGGGATACATCACACTTTCTGATTTCAAATTGAAGTAATCAAAACAGTATGATACTGACATAAAAGGCAGACACATTCACCAATGGGACATAATAGAGAACCCAGAAATAAAGTCACACATTTATGAAAAACTGATCTTTGACAAGGGAGATAAAAATACAAATTATGGAAAAAACAGTCTCTTCAATAAATGATATTGGGAAAACTGAGTATTGAGTACCAAAGAAAATAAAACTGGATACTCATAACAAACAAAAATCAACTTAAAATGTATTAATGACTTAAAAATAAGACACAAAACTCTAAAATTCCTAGAAGAAAATAGGGAAAAAACTTCTTGGATATGACATCAAAAATACAAGCAAATTAAAGCAAAAATAGACTAGTGGGACTACATCAACTAAAAACCTTCTGCACAGCAAAGGATACTCTCTGCAAAGTGAAAAGGCAACCTGTAGAGTGAAAGAAAATGATTGCAAATCATATATATGGGAAAGGGTTAATATCTAAAATATATAAGGAATTGCTAAAACTCAAGAGCAAAAAAAAATTCCAGTTTAAAAAAATGCCAAAGGACCTGCATAGACATTTCTTTAAAAAAGACAAGCAGCTGACAGATAGATGAAAAGATGCTTTTTAGCACCAGTAATCACCAGGGAAATGCAAATCAAAACCATACTGAGATCAATGGGCTATCATATCACCTTATGCCTGTTGGGATGTATTAA